GGAGAGGATTTGAGCGACAGATGGGGACAGACCGGAGCCGTAAATATGTCCAATATTCTTCTCCTCTGATTTACAGCATCAATAAAGGGCGGCTTTGTTTTCACGGGATAGCAGCTCTTTTTTATAAGGCCAGCTCACCTTCACATTAAAGAAAAAGCTAATTAAAGGATTCTCTTTATGGCTGCAGGATAAGGGGGGAGATTTAACGGCGTTGGGCAGCGGGCGGCACAATCCTATCTTCTGGCGGCTTACCGCTATTTCCTTTTTTGTCTGGATTTTCTCTTCAGGATTAAAGGAGACATGACCTGTAAAGAGAACCTGTCACTACTGGGCTTATGCAAGAATGTAATGATTCAGTCTTAACCAGGGGCGGACTGACCACTCATGGGGCCCCCGGGCAATAGGGGATCATGGGGCCCCTGTGTCCTTGCCCAAGCTCAAAAAAGCCTATGAAAAGGTACCAGGGGCATCTCATGGGGCCCCCTACTGACCCCAGGCCCTCGGGCAGTGCCCGAGTTTCCAAATGGTCAGTCCGCCCCTGGTCTTAACCCTTCCATGACCATTGATGCCCAGATCAAATCGGGCAGCGCCTTTATGTTGACCAGAACGCTGTAACCAAAGCTGGTCATAGACGGAGCCATCACACTGAACCAGACGAATTTTGATCCATCTATGGGTAGGCTTGTTGTACTGATGTCGACCCATCGATCGACTTCAGTACAACCAGCCTGTTGGTGTTATGCCTTTTCTGTTGGCTATAGCTGCCAGCAATGTTTATTGTATTCTGCCAGTAGGTAAAGCTCCAAAACCGAGCTCCTCGTCTTTCCCCCTGCCCACCCCCCATCCTATCCATCACCAACAACTCCACTATCATTCCCGCCCCGCAAGCCAAAGTCCTTGGCGTCATTCTTGACTCGATCCTCTCCTTCCAACCTCATGTCAAATCACTTACAAAACACCATGCAGGCTCCACCTCCGCAATATCTCCAAGATACGTACCTTCCTCACCCCAGACACCACCAAACTTCTAGTACACTCCCTCATCATCTCACGCCTTGACTACTGCAACTTCCCTTCTCACCGGCCTACCCCAGCGCAGGCTCTCCCCGCTCCAGACCATCCTGAACTCAGCGGCCAGACTCATCCACCTCACCACCCGCTCCACCTCTGCCACCCCCCTCTGCCTCTCCCCTCCACTGGCTCCCGATTGCCCAACGCATCAAATTTAAACTTCTAACTCTGACCTACAAAGCCATTCACAACACTGCCCCTGACTACCTCACCAACCTGATTCCCAAGTACCACCCTACCCGTACCCTTCGCTCCTCACAGGACCTCCTTCTATCCTGCTCCCTGGTCTCCTCCTCCCATGCACGACTGCAAGACTTCTCCAGGTCCTCCCCCATCCTCTGGAACTCACTGCCCCAATCCATCAGACTGTCACCTTCCCTCCTCACATTCAGGCGCTCCCTCAAAACCCACCTCTTCAGGGAAGCCTACCCCACCCTCACCTAACGGCCATTCTCCCTCTTTCCTCCCACCCCTCATTCCCCTCAGTCACTTCCTACTGTACCACTACCCCCTCCCTCCTAGATTGTAAGTTCGAAAGAGTAGGGCCCTCTTACCCCTCGTATGTTTGTTGTTTATTGTACTGTGCCATGTATTGTCCCCCCCATTGTACAGCGCTGAGCAAACCCTTTGGCACTATATAAACTCAATGTAGTAATAATAATCAGCAGGACAGCATAGCACTGCGCAGGAGGGAGTCCCCCATCAGCACTGACTGTGAGGGGGAGTTTTTCTAACTTTTTTTTTTTTTTTTTTTGCAACCTATGGTTTCAGGAAAGAAAATTACAGCTATGGCTTGTGAGCGACACTCAGTTTTGGAGTATTGTGAGCCCAGTCACCCACAATGCTTTTACTATGCTGGGGGTTGCTTGGCATTTACAGGCATCGGGACGTAGCTGTATATCACAGCACATGTGCATTCCAGTATCTATACCGCCATTTGTAAACACTATAACTTTCACGTAAACCAATTAATTTACACTTATTGGGGTTTGTTTTTACTAAAAAATAAAGTAGCAGAATACATTTTGGCCTAAATTTATGACGAAGTTCCAATTACATTTTTTTTACTAGACATGTTTAACCGCCTCCTGCCTGCCATTTAAGGTAATGACGGGCGCAAGGCGGTTCTCTCGTTCTGGGAGGACGTCATATGACATCCTCCCATTCTAACCGTGCATGCTTGGCTCCGGGTTTGCTGTGTCCCTCGGACACAGCGGATCACCGATCAACGGAAAGAACCGAAGATGTCGGCTTGGTCATGTGATCAGCTGTGTCCAATCACAGCTGATCACATGTAAACAGGGAAATGCCGGTTATCAGCATTTCTCTCCTCACAAGCTGTCACGCTGACAGAGGAGAGGAGAGCCAGTAAATCTACACTGATCATCAGGGCACTGATGATCAGTGTAGCCCCAGCAGTGCCACCTGTCAGTGTCCATCAGTGCCAGCTGTCAGCTGCTCAATGCCTCATCAATGCCACATATTGGTGTTCATCTGAGCTGCCTTTCAGTGTTCCTTATCAATGCCAGTCAGTGCTACCTATCAGTGCCATATGATTGCTGCCTTTCAGTGATGCCTGTCAATGCCCATCAGTGCCACACCTACCAGTGATTACTCATCAGTGCCTACCTATCAGTGCTGCCTTTCCAGTGCCCATCAGTGATGTCTGTCAATGCCCATCAGTGTTACCTACTAGTGCCTCCTCATCAGTGCCACCTATCAGTGTCCATCAGTTCAGCCTATCAGTGCCCATCACTGCAGCCTCATTAGCGCACATCAGTGAAGGAGAAAAATCACTTATTTACAAAATTTTATAACAAACCAAGAACTTTTTTTTTTTCCCAAAATTTTCAGTGATTTTTGGTTTGTTTAGCAAAAAATAAAAATCCCCAGAGGTGATTAAATACCACCAAAAGAAAGCTCTATCTGTCTCAAAAAAAAATGATAAACATTTCATATGGGTACAGTGTTGCATGACCGCGTAATTGTCATTCAAAGTGCTACAGCGCTGAAAATTGGGCAGGAAGGGGGTGTAAGTGCCCAGTAGGTAAGTAATTAATAGCAAAAATATATATGAAATATATATATTTTTTTTTTTTCCCCCTCAAAATTGTGGGTCCTTCTTTATGGTTTATAGCACAAAGAATAAGTTGCAGAGGTGATCAAATACCACTGAAAGAAAGCTGCATTTGGGGGGGACGGGGGACATACATTTCATTTGGTTGCATGACTGCGCAATTGTCAGTTAAAGTAACACAGCGCCGTATGGCAAAAAAATGGCCCGGTCAGGAAGGGGGTGGGGTAAATCCTCTGGAAGGCAATTGGTTAAAAAAACACACAAAGTGATTACCACCAAAAGAAGGCTCTATTTGTATGAAAAATGTAATATAAATTTAATTTGGGTACAAGTGTTGCATGACTGCGCAATTGCCAGTTAAAGTGGCGCAGTATTGAATAGCAAAAAAAAAAATGCCCTGCTCATGAAGGGGATAAAACCTTCTGGATGACAACATGCTGAGCTCACAGGAAATGGGGAAGAATGACCGTGTCAGACCACACTGAAGAGAACCGCCAGTGCTAGACTGGCACTGCATTGGCCTTGATGATGTCAGCACCCAGACCGGTGCAGTATTGGGAAGAAGACACTGTTGGGCCCAGTCCAGAGGGCGCAGCCTCACTGCAAGGGGTCATTTTTTAAAGCTTCTAGGAGATGGGCTTTAAAGCTGACAAATAGACATTTTTTTTTTTTTTTTTTTTTAAAGCTCCTTTTTTTTTAGAATGCATATTACAGGCAAGCTCTGGACTATTTTATTTTGTTTTTTTAATTCTTCCTGGGGTACACTAAAAAAAAATAAACGAAAAAAAAAAAAACAAGGCATACCTACCATTTTTTTTCTTTTGGTGCTGTCCCATGCAGTGTCTCTTCTCCTCCACAAGATGTCCTCAGCCTTCTGTGTTGATTGATACCCATCATCATTGATCCCGGGAGACAGGCAGTACAGTCAGGACATGACTTGCCTTCCCCCAAAGCAGATGTCATTTTGGCTCCTTGCAATCGCAGTATAATGATGCAGATAATTCTGTTGACATGATTTGGGCCCTACTTTTTGCATCATCCTAGTGTGAGTTCCAGGAGGTTTTCTTTGTTTTGTAAACAAAGCCATGTGAACACTGTCCTTGGCCATGATTGCCTGCCATGGCTATCCTGTGATCAGGGCTTTTTGCTCTGAAACAGAAGGTCACACCACTATTGTAGCAAGGATCCTACGAACCTCTCTGCTGGTTTTCTTTGGTGATCACACTTCGAACCAAGTATTTTAAAATGCTTACTTGCAGTGTTTTTTTTTTCCCCTTTCCATATTATTATTATTATTTTTTTTTTTTTAAATTCTCTTGCAATGTGATTTTGGAAGTGGTCCAATTGGAAGTGTGCTGGCCCAGCTCCTCCACACTTTTTTTTTTTTTTTTTTTTTGCTACATATTCTTTTACTATACTATATAATGTCACTTTGCGTGTCAGCTCTTTGTCTGCTGGGGTTGCTGACAACATAGGCAAGATGGCCGCACCTAGCAACAGTCTCAGGGCTTCTGCACAAGGGAGAGTTTGTGGTTTTTGTTTTGTTTTTTTTTGTTTTTTTTTTTTTTTTTTTGTTTTGTGTTCTTGTACTTTTTATTGTCCAGGTAAATAACCTGTATACATTTATGTTAAAGGATAGGTTCATCTTTCGTAACATGTTACTCCCCATATTCAGGGTGTAACATGATACAATTGGACGCCCCCCCCCATGCACCATGGTAGTTCACTGAGCCCTCCTTGTCAGTATCTGCTTGCCCATACAAGATGTATGAGCAAGCAGATATACTGACCGGTCAGGGGGAGACCTGCATGGCACCAGCAATCTGTCGATCACCGGTGCAATGCTTTTAGAGCAGGGGTGCCAAACTGACGGCCCTCCATCTGTTACGGAACTACAAGTCCCATCATTCCTCTGCCTGTGGGAGTCATGCTTGTAACTGTCAGCCTTGCAATGCCTCATGGGACTTGTGGTTCTACAACATTTGGAGGGTTGCCTGTGCTTTAGAGGTTCCAGAAATTAATAAATGCACATTTTTTTTAATGTGTTTTTTTTTTTTTTTTTTTTACCTCCAAAAAAAGTGCATTTCTTTTTTGTTAAAAGGTGAACTCATCCTTTTAACCCTTTGAGGACCAAGGGACGTATTTGTCCCATGTTTTTAATTGCGAGTATCATCTGATTAAGAACTTAAAACTTTTTTTTTTTTTTTTGGTTTGAGTCAAAATATTAGTTCTTATCAACAAACAACAAATGGATCTAGCTTTTTGCCAATTTTTCATGAAATGGTTTAGTTACAGCAACTGAAGTGTACGAACGTTAGAAACAAAAAAATTCTTTTGGCGTTCCAAATCTTACGGTCCTCAAAGGGTTAAATTCACGTATATTCCTATTAGAAGATTTCTGTTCAAATGAATGGTCTGCCAAAATGCCCGTAGGGTCTCCTTCAGTGTACACTGTTACATGGGCTGTTTGTATTTCAGGATGTGTTTTTTCTGATGAACTTTCTTTGATGCAGGGACTTGATCAGGAGCGATTAGAGGAAGTAAGTACTGACCTCGCCAGCATGTACATTGCACTGACTGTCTGTCTGCTGACCATGCTTTCTTTGGGGTGCTGTGGATTGCTGTCTGAATGATATGTGGTATAACCGTCAGCTAGATACTGTTGGACTTACACAAGAATCTGAATATTCTGCTGTTCTTGTGCAGGCTTTTATTTACTATATCTGATTGCTTGGCTGGAGGGGTGGGGGGGTGTTTGGATTTAACCTGCAGTTGCTGGCTTGTCAATTGCTTAAACTCACACGGTCACCAAGCTTCTGAAGTACATAACCGTATGAGAGCCTTGCAGTTTTTAGGATTTTGTTTATGTTGCTTCAGGTACAGAAGAGCATTTAGAAGGAAAAAAACCTGGGGGGTGTTTATTCCAGATGACCAATATTTGCCAACATAGGGTGGCAGGCAGTGGGGACAGTGGACTGAATTCTGTGGTGCAACACTGTAGGGATCACCAGCAGGATTAAGAAGGTCCCGATTCCACTATAGAGAGCTTTAGTAATCCATAGAGGGATCACCTGCAGGAGGAAGGAGGTCCTGATTCCTCTATATAGATCCTTGGTTATTACTATAGAGGGATCACCAGCAGGAGGAAGGAGGTCCTGATTCCTCTATAGAGAGCTTTAGTAATCCATAGAGGGATCACCAGTGTTTTTAATTGCGTGTATCATCTGATTAAGAACAGCTGTAGGGCCGCCAGTTTGACAGCCCTGCTCTAGAGGCTATTGGTGACCCAGGGTGGTCAGGTGGGCTGACCTTTAACCTCCAGGGATGGATTCCTGAAATGTAGTGAGGGTGTGAATAGATGGCTGATAGTCACATAAGGACAGTTATTAGGATTTACTCCAGGGTTAGGGCACAGGACATCCCGAAAGAAATATGACTCTGAAAAAACTTACAGCAGATACAACAAAAGGATTTCTAAAGTGGTTGTAAACCTAAACTTTTTTTTACCTTAATGCTTTTCCTACATTAAGGTACAAAATGTGTGGTTCCCCGCCCTGAAAAATGCTGCCTAAGGCAAGGGCCTTGTTTGCCTTGCAGTAAATAGGAGGAGGTCCTGATTCCTCTATATCACGGGTGTCAAACTGGAGGCCCTCCAGCTGTTTCCAAACTAAAAGTCCCATGAGGCATTTCAAGATTGACAGTGACAAGCATGACTCTCAAAGGCAGAGGCATGATGGGACTTGTAGTTTTGCAACAGCTGGAGGGCCACCAGTTTGACATCCCTGCTGTATATAGATCACTAGAGCGATCACTGATATCCCTGCTGTATATAGATCGCTAGAGGGATCACTGATATCCCTGCTGTATATAGATCGCTAGAGGGATCACTGACATCCCTGCTGTATATAGAGATCACTAGAGGGATCACTGACCCTGCTGTATATAGATCGCTAGAGGGATCGCTGATATCCCTGCTGTATATATAGATCGCTAGAGAGGGATCGCTGATATCCCTGCTGTATATAGATCGCTAGAGGGATCGCTGATATCCCTGCTGTATATAGATCGCTAGAGGGATCACTGATATCCCTGCTGTATATAGATCGCTAGAGGGATCGCTGATATCCCTGCTGTATATAGATCGCTAGAGGGATCGCTGATATCCCTGCTGTATATAGATCGCTAGAGGGATCGCTGATATCCCTGCTGTATATAGATCGCTAGAGGGATCGCTGATATCCCTGCTGTATATAGATCGCTAGAGGGATCGCTGATATCCCTGCTGTATATAGATCGCTAGAGGGATCACTGATATCCCTGCTGGATAGATCGCTAGAGGGATCATCCCTGCTGTATATAGCTCGCTATAGGGATCAGATATCCCTGCTAGAGGCTAGAGGGATCAACAGCAGAAGGAAGGAGGTCCCGATACCTCTATATCACAAGTGTCTAACTGGTGGCCCTCCTGCTGTTGCCATTCTCACTAGAGCGATCACCGGCAGGAGGAAGAAGGTCCTGATTCCTCTATAAAGAGCTTTGGGTATCACTATAGTGGATCACCAGCAGGCGGAAGGTCCTGATTCCTATATAGATGTTTAGTTATCACTAGAGAATCACCAGCAGGAGGAAGGAGGTCCGGATTCCTCTATATACAGTTGTGCTCACGTTTGCACCCCCCGGCAGAAATCATGAAATTTTGGCATTGATATTGAAAAGATAACTGATCATGCCAAAAAACTGTCCTTTTATTTAAGGATAGTGATCATATGAAGTCATTTATTATCACATAGTTGTTTGGCTCCTTTTCAAAACATAACAGAAATCACCAAAATGGCCTGATCAAAAGTTTCCCTCCCCTGGAGAGTTTGATCTTGGTAATGACACACAGGACACAGGATAAAATGTCAATTTCTCACATCTGTGGCTATTTAAATTGCAGTTCGTGTCTGTGTGTAAATGGTAAATGAGTTTGTTAGTTCTCACATGGATATACTGAGCAGGCTAGATACTGAGCCATGGGGAGCAGAAAAGAACTGTCAAGACCTGCGTAACAAGGTAACAGAACGTTATAAAGCTGAAAGAATATAAAAAGAGAGCTTGCAGCCACAACTGCCAGAAGAAATTGTTTGGGGTGCAATGAAAAACCCACAGGTGACCTCAGGAGAAAAAACAGACTGCTCTGGAAAATGACAGTATGGTTGGTTGTTTTGAGCACAATACAACAATACTTGCACAAAAATGAGCTGCATGGTTGGGTTGCCAGCAAGAAGCCTTTACAATACCTAAAATAAGCCCAGTGAGGCGTGTCCAGATGTTGTTGGGCATTTAGTAGCTGGGCTTTTTTTAAATTTATTTTGGCATTGGTGTCCTAGTACTGACTGGCATAGTCAAGGCACTTTGATATTACCTTGTTATGCAGGGTTTTTTTTTTTTTTTTTTAGTTCTCCCCATGGCTTAGTATCTGGCCTGCTCAGTGCATCCACATGAGAGCTAATAAACTGACTATTCATACACACACTAATTGCAATTTAAAAAGCCAAAGATGTGATTTATGTTGATTTGGAGAAGAGCCAAGCAACTATGTGATAATAAATGGTTTCATATGATCACTGTCCTTACATAAGGCAGTCTTCTACCATGATCCGTTATATTTTCAATATCTATGCCAGAATTTTGTTTCATACCTCAGTGGTCTCACTTGTCCTTAGTGGATAGGCAAATATGTTGCGTACAAGTTGTTGACCAAGCTCTGCTTTTACTTTCTGTAGGCAACATTTTGTGTAACAGTATATCACAGAAAATTGTGAACCCCTGATGAGGACTCCTATAGGAGTTTGTTGGACATGCTTTCCCAACGCCATGGCTAATATGGAGTTGGCACCTCTTCTAGAGCTAAAACATCGTCCAATTTTCTGTCTGAGAAGGCTTTCCACAAAACGTTGGCATGTCTGTGGGAATTTGGGCCAAATCAACATTAGTGCCTGACTTTGGAATGATATGGAAATCTGATTACAAGCCAAGTCTTGAACATTTACAAAGGTTTTCAGTAGGGTTGAGGTCAGGGCTCCGAAAGCCCACTTTCCTAAAATGTTACCACAAGGTTGGAGGTGCCTAATTGTCCAAAATGTCCCTGTATGCTGTAGTAATAAGTGCCCTTCAGTGGAAACTCCTGAACCAGGGGCGGACTGACCATTTGGAAACTCGGGCACTGTCCGAGGGCCCGGGGTCAGTAGGGGGCCCCATGAGATGCCCCTGGTACCTTTTTTTTTTTTTCATAGGCTTTTTTGAGTTTGGGCAAGGACACAGGGGCCCCATGATCCCCTATTGCCCGGGGGTCCCAAGAGTTGTCAGTCCGCCTCTGTCTTGAACTCCACTGTTTTGAAGGAATTTCCTCATACATTTTTTTTTTTTTTTTTTTTTTTTTTTTTTGACCTTTTTTATAGTTGGTGCCAATAAAACTTGATCTTTCAGGAAAAGTTTTGGATAAATATGCCAAAGCCTACACTTATCACACAAGAAGGTGCAGTACAACAACATAGCATTTTGTTTGTGTGAGTGAGGCAGTCTTGAGAGGCAATAGACGTACCTATTAGGCTTTGGTACGCCTCCCCAATGGTGGAGGTGTACTAAAGCTTTGAGTTTGCCATCTGATCAGAAATGGGTACAAACCCAGGCTTGAACCTCTTACCTGAGAAGTGTCACTGATGAATAGGTATGCAGTAATATGTAATGTACAAGTTCACTTTGTAGATAAACATTTGTGGGCACCTGACCAGCATGGCTGTATGGGCTTGTTGGGCATGCTATTCCAAAATTATTGCCATTTAATATGGAGTTGCCCCCCTACCCCCTTGTGGTTATATTCATCTCCACTCTCCTGGGAAGGCTTCCTGGAAGATTTTGGTGTGCGTTTTTTGAGGGAATTTATGTCCATTCAGCCAAAAGAGAATTTGTGAGGTCAGGTACTAATGTTCTTAGGTGAGTATGAAAGCATAACGAAGGCCTCTTGCACACGGTATTAATGTTTGTTTATCTTTTTTTTTTTTTTTTTTTCCCCGTAAATTCAGGCACTTGTGTTTTTGACTTTATACACGTTTGTGCGCACAATATATTCCTAGGGAAAAATTAATTTAATAAAATGCTCATGTGCGTATTTGCATGCAGGCGGTGTAAATTACTGACCAAAAACGCAGATTTTCCTTTTTTTTGTGCTGCCGAGAGGAGAGGAATTAGAACCCCTATTGGTTTTTATTGCAGTCTCTGCTCGCATTTAAGGAGATACACCCTCTTTTTTGTCCTGTTTACCATTATCATTGAACGTGAAGAAAAAATGCCAAATTTTGGTTTTCCCCAGAAAATAATAAAGGGAAAATCTTCCAATGGGGACACTAGTTTTGGGGACCCCCAGGTCTCCAAGGGATTCTCTAAATTTTGCAGGGATTTCCTGTTTAGCTATGGAATAGGAAGTGAAGGGAAATCTCCAAATCAGGATATAGATGGTGGGAGCGCAAAAAAAAAATAAAAAAATGAAAAAAAACTGCTTTGCCTATACTCCCATGTGCGGTATCGGCTCCACCATTTGCAGGAACACCACTAATCTGCCAGTGTTTGACCCCTTTGGAACCCACCACCCTCCAAAAGTACTCTGAAACAGCCCTGAAGAAGGGGGAGGGCTATTCCAAAGAAACGCATTGGCTCTAACTTGCGCATATTCATTAAACGTTTTTAACTGTTCGTTTTTTTTTTTTTTTTTTTTGGCACCGGGTCCTCCTTCATATTGCCCAAGTGTCTTCTGTTGAAATTACCCCATCTTCTTGTCAGGCAGCAGCCCCAGACCCAAAGGAAGTCTATCGCCACCACTCCACTATTGGATGGCAACCTAATCGGGAAGTGATTCTTTCCATACTGTCCTCCACGGAGCTACCTGCCAGTCACCAGTTAAACCAATCAGCGCTGTTTCCTACTAACTTCAAGTACTAATGTTGGATGAGAGATCTGCCCTCACAATTTGCATTTGAATTCATCCCAAATGGTGTTCAGTAGGGTTGAGGTGAGGGTATTGTGCAGACTTCTTGATTTCCACCACACCAAACTTCTCAAGCCATGTCTTTTGTGGAAGTAGTTTTGCAGGAAGGCCCCTGTCTATACTGCCATCCATGAAGTTTGGAAGTACCCAGTTGGAACGTCTCTGTACGTCTCTGTATGCTGTAGCATTACCAGAACCCTTCAGTGGAAGCATCTGAATTTCATTATTTGAAGGGTGTCTATGATGCTTGGCTTATACTAGCAGGTGTGATGGTTGGTGTCTCCCCCAGGGGCTATGTGGCCTCATAAGACAATCGGGGGAGAATGAAAACTCCTACCAGCTTTAACAAGTGCTCTGCTGGACACTGATAGAAGTCACAAGTCTGCTCTAACTGCTGATGAGAAAAGGTATTTAGCAGTTTATATTTAACTAAAATAATTGCATTGCTATGTACTGTGGGAGACAGGATATAGTGAATGCGGGGTCCGGGGAGACCGGATATAGTGAATGCGGGGTCCGGGGAGACCGGATATAGTGAATGCGGGGTCCGGGGAGACCGGATATAGTGAAATGCGGGGTCCGGGGAGACCGGATATAGTGAATGCGGGGTCCGGGGAGACCGGATATAGTGAATGCGGGGTCCGGGAGACCGGATATAGTGAATGCGGGGTCCGGGGAGACCGGATATAGTGAATGGGGGTCCGGGGAGACCGGATATAGTGAATGGGGGGTCCTGGGTTCTAGTAACACTTTACCTCATTGTGCAGGAGCATTCTCG